CGGGAGGGGGGGTAGGAGAGGCCGGGGGAAGGTCAATGGGGAAAAAAGGAGACATATGTACTACTATTTGTAATACTTTAAACAATAAAATGAAATAAAATAAAATTGTGGCTATATATAAGTGAATCATTATTTATTATCCACAAAGAGCTATTTATTTGCAACTCAGAAAAAAGTACTATATCTAAATTGTAAGTAATTAGCTTCGGTAACATCCTATATAATAAAAGCCTAATATGCTAAGTGTCCAGTCGACCAGTCAGCAGTTCAACCAATCAAAGCATAATATGCTAATGATATGCTAAGGCCGCTCAACCACTCGCCATGATGAGCACTGACCACCAGGGGGCAGAGAGTCGACCAGTCAACCAGTTGCTATCATGTGCACTGACCACCAGGGGGCAGACGCTCTGACTGATAGGTTAGCTTGCTGCTGGGGTCCAGCCGATTGGGACTGAGTTAGGGACATGCCCTGGAGCCCACCTGCAGTCCCTCCCTGGCTGGCCAACCTCCCGCGTCCCTCCCTGGCCCCGATCATGCACTGGTGGGGTCCCTTGGCCTGGCCTGTGCCCTCTCACAATCCGGGACCCCTTGGGGGATGTTGGAGAGCTGGTTTTGGCCCGATCCTGCTGGCCAGGCCGAGGGACCCCACTGGTGCATGAATTCATGCACCAAGCCTCAAGTACCTAATATAAAACTATATATAATCATCGATTTGAATGCCCAGAAAACATAGGCATAGATTTCTGATCTGAAGATTATAGCTAATAAAGTTAATAGCTTATCCACTGAGCAACCTTAGAAGGAAAATTCTCTCTGGGATGAGATTCTCATTATTTTTCAGTAATCATGATCCAATTCATGGAGGGCCCAAATATAACAAAAAACAAAGAGAGGGCAAAATCTATCTCTTGCTTGAGATGAGCTAGAGTTAATAGCTAAATCATAATTCTTGGGCCTTTGGATTCCAGGACTTAACACCATCAGCACCCTGGTTGTCAGGTCTTTGAATTCAGACTGAATAATATTACTGGCTTTCCTGGTTCTTCAGCTTGCAGACAGCGGACTATGAGACTTCCCAGCCTATTATAGTCAGATCTTTGCCATCACTACCTTTAATCAATTTTACACCAATAGTACTACACAATGAGGGATAATGGGAAATTTTTTAACATTTCCCTTTCTAAGATGAGAATCCTCAAATTGAAATGTTTCTACATGTTTTTTACAAGTACATGTTTTTAAAGAATCTATATATATAAAAGGATAATATGCTAAGTGTCCGACCGACCAACTGGTCGCTATGATGCACACTCACCACCGGGGGACAGATGCTCAACACAGGAGCTGCCGTGACGCACACTGGCCATTTACAGAGAAATGGCACTGCAGACCTGGCACCCACAAAGCAACACTCGGCTTCCCCCAAGTGGGACACAGACCCCGCCACCACCCCAGAGCAACACCCCACCAAATCGCAGC